AAATGTCATACAAAAATACATCCTTTTTTCAAAATCTGATTAATCGAATAAAATAATCAATGATTAAAGCCCCTACAAGGAACTTGTAGGTAAACGCAGAGGTCGGCTGGTAAGGCTGAAGGCCTGTTTGCCGACCACTTCCACGGCTTCTTGGACTGAGTATGGAGCGGTGCCTCGCCTCTTTATTTCTCGGCACTCGCTGGACCCTGTCGACGCCTGGCTGGTACCTTTCGTCGGCCGGATAAGGTGTTCCAGCCCCGCGGCCCCTGCTCTCCTCGTCCCCGCTGGCGCGGGGTGAATCTGCGCAACCTGAGGCCTCTGTGTGTGGCTCCCCAGACAGCTAACGCTGTGGACCCGCCAGCTCCTGCCAGGATTGGGCTGGTAAATGCTAGATCGCTAGGGAACAAAACGTTTATCCTGAAGGATTTCCTGACTTCCCGAGGATTGGATTTTCTCTGTGTGACTGAGACATGGCTGACTGTTGGTGAGACCAGTGCTTTCACAGAACTTTTACCTGATGATTGCTGCTATTTTAACTCCCCACGGACGTAGGGTCGAGGAGGAGGAATAGCGACTATTTATAAGAGTCACTATAAATTTAAGCAGCTAGGTAAGATGACGTGTGCCGTCTGAGTGCCTTAAATCGTTTTGTCCTGGAAGCGACCTGCGGTGGACCCAGAGACAGTTTCCTAAAGGTATGGATGTACACTACATAAAAATAGCTTATCTTCACAACGATGGTCTCATTTGCTGTTGTAGGTCACGCACAGACATCAGCAGAAACGAGAGACTTTTGCATATCCAGTTAAAAGTTCCTTGTAGCGGCTTTAATCCATTATTTTTTTAAAAAATATATAGACTCTTTGGGTACCTCACGATTCCATTCGATTCCGATTCTTGGGGTCATGATTCAATTCAAAATCGATTCTTGATTCAAAACGATTCCCAGTTCAAAAATTTATTCCTGATTCAGTACATAGGAGTGTTTAATTTCTACTCCAGTCTGCTGTGCACGAAGAGAGACAGTGTGGAAAATTATGGCATGAAAGCAGAGTAAAGTATGTACAAAATTATGTCATTTTTCTATTTGAAAAAGTCAAATAAACGTATTGCAATAATCAAACTTAAGACAAAAGGTAACATTTATTCATGCTTAACTAGCACAAATGAAAACTGAATTCTCGGTGACTTCAAGAATAATAGATTCAAGTTATCAAAAAATAAATTTAAAGTGCTGCTTAGGGTTGTGCATCAAGAATGGAATCGTGAGGAACCCAAAGATTCACATCCCTGGTCATCATGGCTCAGGCAGGATGAAGATGAGGCATCCGCGCAGTATGTGCTGCTCCTGAGAATCACCGGTCCAAACCTCCCGATGGACACGTCCCCGGCAACGCTGAGCACAGCGAGAGTCTCCTGACGTTTAGTTTTTAATTCCAGCCAACAAAACAGGAGTTTTTTTTTCTTGTGTTCATTGAAAAGTAAAGATTTGTTAAAGATTTGTTATCAAACTGCTTTTGGTCCCCACTTCACGCATGTTGTGGTCAACACAAGCCTGGCCTTAATACTAGTAACTTTAAAGGTAGGGTCTGGAGGATTTTCCAGTTGCTGTTTGTAAACACACATTCAAATTTGGCCCCTCCTATCAGGCTCAACTCTCCCGGGTGTACGGAGCCTGGAGGTACAGAAGAAGGCTTCACAGAAGAGGTTCAGGCATGGCTCATGCTGGTGCACGCTCGGACACCCTCGGGCACGGCACCTGTGCTCTGTCATTGGCTGGGGAAATCTCCGCCCAGAAGCGGTCCGAGCTCACAAAAACATCAAAATACAGTTAAAGGGCAGGAGCTCTGCAAACAGAGTCACCATCACACATGAGTAGAAGCCCATAGGTGATGATTAAGCAGGATTTCATTTGTATATGTCTATATTTTGTTTTGTTTGAAAATCCTCCAGATCCTACCTTTAACTGGTACACACTACATTTTGAATCTGTCATTACTGTGCCACTTCAATATTATTCAGTTTGGATCATCAGATTATATTCAAAGTATAAACAAACTGAGGAATGTAAGGGTGACAATGCTGCTAGCATCATTCTATAGGACTATTTAAACAAATACAACACAGACATCAATACAGTTGCTTGGTTTTATGGACTTGCAATCACGTCCAGGTCATAAATGATAACATAGTTGTACTTTTTAATTCCAATTTTCATGATGTGGATATTTGTCGAGGCTCACTGTTGCAAGACTATGTTATCCCAGTATAGGTCCACTTTGTCCATATACAAATCGACCACCCTACACTCCGTCCATATCGGTCCAGTCTGGAGGGCCTCAATGCACAGGGCAGTGATGAGGAAACTGCACCTCATTGGGAGGTTGACATAAAAAAGTTTAAATTAAAATAGGAAAGGTTATTAGAACATAACATAGCAGCTCCTTCACTTGCCTTCATATGAACATTAAAGGTGTCTCATCATATTCTAATGTTCAATAGTAGCTAAGGTGTTTGTATTCATGTATTTATTAGTTTATTTGTGAGGGACATTGCAAGAAACACTAACAGGTTAAAATAATATGTATAATGTTATGTATACATATTATATATATGTATAATATCAGATGCGTTGCATACAGTTAGGGCTGCCACTAACTTATATATTTTTAAAAAATAATGGATTAATCATTAATTATTTTATTTGATTAATCAGATTTTGAAAAAAGGCACAGGATGTATTTTTGTATGACGTTTCTATTGTCATGGTAGGTGATAAAACATTTTAAATACATGTAATTAAAATGCTGCCCATATCTGCCAACAATGCATAGGCCTATGTGATACAACAATATAAAAGAATACAAGTAAATATATGCTGCATATAATTTGAATTGTCTGTATCAATAACCTGAAGAATTGCAGGTCTGTATAATCCAACAGAAACTAAGAGAAAACCAGGCTTTCATTGGCAGCAAATAAATCCATAGGCCTACTGCCATCCTCTGGTGAAAAGGACAAACATCAGTTTGAAACTTCACTGATGCAACGATGCGTTATGGAGAAACCCAGTATTAACAGTAACAACGCAACACACACAATAATTTATTACACTGAACAAAAATATAAACGCAACACTTTTGTTTTTGCTCCCATTTTTCATGAGCTGAACTCAAAGATCTAAAACATTTTCTATATACACAATAAATACACACATACCCATTTCCCTCAAATATTGTTCACAAATCTGTTTAAATCTGTGTTAGTGAGCACTTCTTTGCTGAGATAATCCATCCCACCTCACAGGTGTGGCATATCAAGATGCTGATTAGACAGCATGATTATTGCACAGGTGTGCCTTAGGCTGGCCACAATAAAAGCCCACTCTAAAAATGTTCAGCTTTATCACACAGCACAATGCCACAGATGTTGCAAGTTTTGAGGGAGCGTGCAATTGGCATGCTGACTGCAGGAATGTCCACCAGAGCTGTTGCCCCTGAGTTGAATGTTCATTTCTCTACCATAAGCTGTCTCCAAAGGCGTTTCAGACAATTTGGCAGTACATCCAACCGACCTCACAACCGCAGACCACATGTAACCACACCCGCCCAGGACCTCCACATCCAGCATGTTCACCTCCAAGATCGTCTGAGACCAGCCACCCGGACAGCTGCTGCAACAATCGGTTTGCATAACCAAAGAATTTCTGCATAAACTGTCAGAAACCGTCTCAGGGAAGCTCATCTGCATGCTCGTCGTCCTCATTGGGGTCTCGACCTGACTGCAGTTTGTCGTCGTAACCGACTTGAGTGGGCAAATGCTCACATTCGATGGCGTCTGGCACGTTGGAGAGGTGTTCTCTTCACGGATGAATCCCGGTTTTCACTGTTCAGGGCAGATGGCAGACAGCGTGTGTGGCGTTGTGTGGGTGAGCGGTTTGCTGATGTCAACGTTGTGGATGGAGTGGCCCATGGTGACGGTGGGGTTATGGTATGGGCAGGCGTATGTTATGGACAACGAACACAAGTGCATTTTATTGATGGCATTTTGAATGCACAGAGATACCGTGACGAGATCCTGAGGCCCATTGTTGTGCCATTCATCCACGACCATCACCTCATGTTGCAGCATGATAATGCACGGCCCTATGTTGCAAGGATCTGTACACAATTCCTGGAAGCTGAAAACATCCCAGTTCTTGCATGGCCAGCATACTCACCGGACATGTCACCCATTGAGCATGTTTGGGATGCTCTGGATCAGCGTATACGACAGCGTGTTCCAGTTCCTGCCAATATCCAGCAACTTCGCACAGCCATTGAAGAGGAGTGGACCAACATTCCACATGCCACAATCAACAACCTGATCAACTCTATGCGAAGGAGATGTGTTGCACTGCGTGAGGCAAATGGTGGTCACACCAGATACTGACTGGTTTTCTGACCCCCCCAGACCCCCCCAATAAAGCAAAACTGCACATTTCAGAGTGGCCTTTTATTGTGGCCAGCCTAAGGCACACCTGTGCAATATTCATGCTGTCTAATCAGCATCTTGATATGCCACACCTGTGAGGTGGGATGGATTATCTCGGCAAAGGAGAAGTGTTCACTAACACAGATTTAGACAGATTTGTGAACAATATTTGTGAGAAATGGTCTTTTGTGTATATAGAAAATGTTTTAGATCTTTGAGTATTTATTTTGAAGTTACTTCCGCCTCTGATGTCACTGCAGTTTGACTTTTTGTCCAAAACAATAAATGAAAAAACAGATTTAATTTTTTGTTTTTTTGATTTTGTTTTGAAACGGAATAATTAAAGAACAACCCATACTCAGATTAATGAAGCCTCATGAATAATTTTCTTTATTTTCTGAGCCCACTAGATGGCGCTTTTTGTTCAACAAAAGGTTTAAAACATACCAGATTTCCATTCTTTTAGCCTCTCTCTTTAAACCAAGAGCACCATCTAGTGGGCTCAGAAAATAAAGACAATGCTTCATGAGGCTTCATTCCGCCATCACTACTATACAGTGCTGCCAGGTCCAACCTGAAGAGAGGCATCAAGGTACCAAGGAGGACTACAGGCAGAGAATAGAAGGGCATTTCAGCAAGGGAGACCCATGGAAGGCATGGCAAGGTATTCAGCACAAATGAACATGAAGTCCGCACACCGGGAACTGCTCCTTCAAATCACTTTAATGGTATATCACCACATGTAATGTTTCGGGCACCTGCCCTTCACATGAAATGAGTGTGGAGACACACCTCATATACAACCCCTAGGTTCACCTGACAAATCATGTGATCAACCACAGGTGTAAGACTGTTTAGTCTTTACAGCTGATTATATATACACACATAATTTAAACACACCTACATAAAAGCATAGAAAAATTACATTAATATATACCAAAAATCACAATAATACCCATATACCTATTTACAGAAGTGTTAGAATTTTTTTTTGGCAGGTACAAGACCTGCAGTACAAAAAGCATTTTATACAAAAAGACACTTTAAATATCACATGATGGAAGCATCAGGTAGAGACATCATTAAATCATGTGATATCAAAGGGGAAAAAAATACTGTAGAGGCACCTCTTACATGTAGGTAGTGATAATCAATCAAAACCACAGCGATATAACGTGTAGAATAACATGTGAACATGGCTCACACAGTATGAATACATAAACATAAGACCAGCTACTGAGGGAACAATGTCAACACAAACTAGCAGTGGTAATAGGTTCCTTGACACATATCCCAATGAAGAATGAAAAATGACAACAAAGTCACAGAAAGGGCCTTAAGTCGAACTCCACATTGAGCCCTTTAGGGGCCAGAGTGTCCAGGGTATATACCCAGAATGCTTCTCTTTTAAGAACGAGAGAGTTAATATCACCACCACGTCAGGGCTGTTTGACCAGTTCTATACCTACATATCTGAGAGGAGACATTTTGAGAAGCTTGCGTAAAGTGCACCGCCACTGGTCTTCTGGTGCCGTGGTTTCTAATGTTACACCTATGTTCTGACATTCTAGTTTTCAATGGTCTAGTTGTTTTACCCACATACGCCAAGCCACACGGGCACTTAAGCATATATATATCACATTTTTAGTGTTACATGTAATCATATGTTGAAAGATTTGCCAGTGCGTGGATGATTGAAGGTAGTAGTTTTGTGTGTAAAGTTGCACTGGGGACAGTTACCACATCTGTAATTCCCAGAGGGAACACACTGTAAAAAATGGAGTGGAGTCACAGGTGGATGATGAGCTCTCACTAAAATGTTTCTGAGGTTGCGTGGTCTCTAAAACACAACACGAGGTGGTGAAGAGAAGCATTTGAGTGTAGGATCAGAATCGATAATGTGCCAGTGTTTTTGGATAATATTTTGAAATTCCCTACCAAGAGGTCAGTACTGGATAACACAATTAACCCTCAGACACTTTGGATCTAGTATTATTGAGGCACTCAGATTGTGATACATAGTCAAAGTGATTGCAAGCTTGTGTGACCCATTCATGTTTATATGGTCTATCTTGAAAATGTTTATCCAGGTCAGAGGCTTGAGCTTGATAGTCCACATCAGATACGGTGGAAACGATTGAACTGTGAAATGGGCAAACTCCTTTTAAGTGGGATGGGGTGAAAGGATTATCCATGAAGAATGGAGTCTATTGGAGTCTCTATACAGAAGGATGTCTAAAAAGTCCATCTTGTATTTGTCATATTCTATGGTACATTTCAGATGGTGACTGTTAGTGTTAATAAAGTTATGAAACTCAGAGCCTGTCCAAATGAGAAAAATGTACCAATGTTTATCAATGTACCTATTCCAGTTAGAGATCAAAGCCAGGTGCAGGTTGAGATGGTGATTAAAAATGATTTCCTTTTCAAAGAGTCCACAGTATAGGGAGGCAAAACTTGGAGCCATCTTGGCTCCCATACTCGTGCCTGACACCTGGAGGTAGAAATCAGAACCAAAAAGAAAAAAATTAGAAGTGAGGACAATTTCTATGAGGTCCACAATACAAAGAGTACTGGGGGTGCAGTTGGAATGTAGATTTAAAAATGATTCTGCTGCCTGGAGACCCCCCCTCAAAGGGTACATTCGTGTATAAAGACTCAATGTCCATGGTGACAAGAAAACAGTGGTCATCTGTCAGTTGAATTGTTTGAATCATTTTGATGAAATCCATAGAGTCTTTAACATAAGATGGCAGGGTGGTGACAAGTGGTTGAAAAAAATGATCCACAAACGCTGATATATTTTCTGTTAGGGACCCGATGGCAGCTACAATGGGACAGCCAGGAGGTACAGTGGTATAAGGTTTATGGATTTTAGGGAGAGTGTACAACACTGGGGTGACGGGAGAGTCAACTAGCATGAAGGCATGTTCTTGTTTAGTGATTTCTCCAATTTGGCCCTGATGCGTTGTTTTAAGTGTTGGGATTCAAAGGATCACATATGATTTACCATTTGTTAAAATCTAAACGGGACATTTGAAGGCTTTTTCCTCTGCATGCTCTTTGTCTTCAAACAAAGAGAGCTATGTGACACCCATCTCCACAGGAGGTCTCACCTCACACCTCAGTGAGACTCAAGTCCCAAAACTTGATTGGACAGGACTTTTACAGTGACATGTGACTCTGATGTCACAGGCATCTGTAGAAGGTCTGCTCCCTTCAGACAACTCGCTCTTACTCAGGAACTGTGGAGCAGCCCACACCTTTTTCCTGCTGGGCCTGGACCAGCCCAGATGCTCAGACCCTTGCTCCTTGCCCTGAACCATCAAAGGTGGGACGATTGATCACAGACTCTCTAACCTGAACCGGAAAGTTAGAGGTGCAAGCACAAGGTTTGCAACTAGCTTTCCAGCAACAAGGAACTAAGTGAGTTAACACCCAGCGTCTAATTCTGCAAGGACCCACAGCGACTGGCTTCCTCGGATCAGAACCTTTGGAACAAGGACACAGCAAAGACTGCAGCTGGAACCACAGCTCTTCCCAGCCTTCGTCTACCGGCTAACAAAGCAGCACACCACCAAGTGACTCTTTCTCCCATCCACTCAAGGATTGGTAAAGTAACAACTGGGCATAGCTTCATCACAGCTTTACAGGCAAAGCAAGACTGTTTAACTTGTTGTATGTGATTTAATGCTGTCATTGAGTTATTGTTGTGATTGTTTGCAGTTAGGTCATTGATTAGTTGGCTTTGCCAAAGCTAAGTGTTTAGTTTGCTAATACTGTTCACAGATTCTTGCACACCTTGGGTCGGAGGTGATCTGTGTGTGGCGCTGCGTGAGTAGCGACATACAGTAGTGGTCTGTCTCGTTTTTATGTCTTTTTATGTCCTTGTGAACAACCAAGCTGAGTGAGACTTACGTCTGTTGCACTGTTCATTCTAAAATGGAGCTACTGTATTTGATCGCTACTTGGACTTTGTTTGCCGTGGCTCAGAGTGTGTTTGATCCCAGCCACTCACACACAGGCAGGATTCAGTACAATCGGGAATTCTTACTGAATCTGAGGGATCAACAGAAGCCACTTATCCGCCTGGACTTACTCATGGAATATCACGAAACAGCGGATATTCTCAATGTGAACTTTAATACACGGCGGGATAAAAAATGCAATGTACGGAAACGCAGAAGACGGGGAGATGTCAGACAGAGGCTGAAGCGTCTGAATCTCCACCGTATACCCCTCCCCTCGATACTACTTTGCAACGCCCAGTCCATCAGAAATAAGGTCAACGAGATCCAAGCCAACGTCACTCATCTGGAGAAATTCAGAGACGCATGCATCATGGCTTTCACTGAGAGATGGCTTTCTGCTGCGGACCTGAACACCGACTTAACTCTCACTGGTTTTGGTGCGCCGGTGAGACTTGAGAGGGACGCTGACATTACAGGGAAAACCCAGGGAGGCGGGTCTGCCTCTACGTCAATCAGCGGTGGTGTAAACATGTCACTGTCAGAGAGGCTGTGTGTACTGCGGACATAGAGCTGCTGTCTACGTCCCTGCGGTCCTTCTATCTCCCCCGTGAATTTCCCCAAATATTCGTCACTGTAGTATACATACACCCCAAAGCCAATGCAAAGAATGCAGTGACAGTTATTCAAAAGGTCACACAAAAGCTATAGTCCCTCTCTCCTGATGCTCCTTGTCTCATTCTTGGTGATTTTAATCATTGCAATCTGAAGTCAATGAGTAACTTTCATCAGTATATTTCTTGCCCTACTAGACTGAACAAAACCATTGACCTATGTTATGGTTCAGTCAAAGGTCCGTATAAGTCTGTAGCTTTGCCCCCTCTTGGTTCTTCTGATCACAACACTATCTCTCTCATCCCAACCTACAAGCCACTCCTAAAGGCCCATTTATGCTCAACGTTAAATACGGATCCGGATACGGACGGAGCCTTCTGTCCGTGCTCCGCGTTCATTTCATCCGTATTTCTGCACGTTTCCATAAAGCTTACGGATACGGGCCAAACGGAGCAGTACCACCGGAAACCGTGGGGGCAGTGTTGCTGTCACTACCCGATACGTAGCTCTAATGAGACATGAAGAAGAAACAACAATGGTGGAACTTTTTCACCTGAAACGCTGAAAATAAAATAAGAGGGAGACAGGTTTTTCCTATTTCATCTTATTTTGTTATATTTCTCCCTCTCCCCTCTCTGGGAGCGTCCGACCTCCCGCCACTCACTCCCGTCTCAAACACGGAGGCCTCCCTCCCCGCAGACCCCGCCCTCCCAGCCCCGCACATACCCACGAGGCTCGGTCTCACCGAGCGGGCGGGCTCCGCTCCACTCCCAGGGCCGACCCTCGCGCCCTTCAACTGGGGTCCCTCTGTTTTTGTCATTTATGCAAGAGGTACATTATCAATATCTCCTCCACAGTTGCCATGTTTGTTTCTGAGTTTGTTGTTGTCACAAACTTTTGACTCTGGGCTGCCCCCTGGTGGATATATTGGTTAACATCCATGCCAACATAATGGACGCATGGAAGTATGTGGGCAGTGACGTTAACATCGTTTGAAATGGACATATACATTTTCGTACGTAAAGGGAGCATAAATGGGCCTTAAAAAGGAGTAAAGTTGCCACCAGAGAAGTGGAGATGT